AGAGGTCTATTGCGTGCCGGGGTTGTCACAAAAAAATAAATATCGTGCAACATAAATTCCTGCAATGTACCCTTGAATTATCTAATAGTCCCCTTCACAGTTCCCTGCGCCATCTTGAAAGGTAGCCGTGCCTTTACATCAAAGCGAGACGAACGGTGAGCTTGGAATGATATCATTGCAAGCTCACCGTTCGTCTCTCTTCGATGCAAAGCACGGTTACCTTTCAAGATGGCGCAGGGAACTGTGAAGGGGACTATTGTTCATCCCTTAATTGCTTACTGTAAATTTGCCCATCGACACCTAGTATAWAGATTAAAGAATATAAATGTATCCACCACCATTACACAACTACTTGTACTAATACTACTACTTGCACTTGAGTGATTTAACTTAACCCGTGAAAGAAAGAAAGAAAGAAAAACTATTTAGTTAGTACTAGTTGATGAACAAACAAAAGAAAACAACGGGTATAGAGTCTCACTACTACTAACTATTATGCGTACTACCTCTTTTCCCTTTAAAAAAAATCACTCTACTACTGCCACTAAATTTTGGTTAGTTTAGTTCATTTATTCTGTTTCCTGTCCMATGCTATTGCTCGCTAATGAGAGTAAAAATTTTAAAGTTTAGTTTTATGCCTTTCTTTTTCTCACTGACAACGCATGTTTCTGAACTTAAGTTTCTAGCATTAAAAAAAATGATTGGCACAGTAGCACTCTCGTGTTGTGGGTAGCAATTTGTTAACATTTGAACGGTTTTCCGTTATTTTAATCCCAGTACTGAAAAGGAAAAGAGAGGGTCTGGGTAAGAAGCTCCTTCTATTGCCCTCTCCCCTCCCCTCCTCTCCTTTCCTCTCCTCTCCTCTCCTCTCCTCTCCTACCACACTGATTCCGCCGTTTCGCAGTCGACCGCATCTTTGTTTCTTGCTATAGCAAGGGCGCTAGGGCAAATATTGGCGTTTTTTAGCCGTTAGGAACGGTTTAAACTGTTACTTATCAGTTCTGCTATGCTCTGGCTTGATTTTTTTCAGTTTTCCCGTCTATATACGTCAAAAATACTGCTGACCAAGGGTCCAATCGTACGTAACGAACTACTGTATCCTATACCTGCCTCGTGACCGCGTACGTAAGCGTACGCGTCGGTTAATAAGTTAATCCAAATCCCCTAAATAACCAAGAATGAACAGGTGACGAGAAAACTGAAAAAATAAGCTCAATAGCCTCCCTRACGCAGATGTTCTTAGGGCCGTCACGTCACGTTTCTCTCCCCAGGAAGATGAACGTTGCTTGTCAACCCTTTTCGTCCAAGAAAAAGTACACTAGAATGATAAATATGAAAGACGGAAAGACCATGGCAACTGATTATATAAATGTAAGTATGCTATTCCATCGAAGAAAAATACTATTTACTCCRAACTTCATCAATTTATTAATTTTGTACAGCTAATTACGCAATAGGTTTTTTCATTATGAAATATGTTGATTAGGCCCTTCAGTCCTTAATTTCATCCCTTCATCTCGAGAATTGCTAATCAGGAAATCCATTGTTGTATATGTAATCTTGAATAATATTTTGCTTTGTTTTTGGCGAAAATTAATCATTTAGTTTATTCAACTTGATATATAGCTCTTACGGTTTGGTTAAGAATAAGTACTCATAATCTCAAACGAAAMTCAGCGAAAAAGGCAAATTGATCAGTGCAAATGATCGTATTTGTAGCCGAACTAAGACTAGACTGAACTAGTAAGTAYACCATTGTAGTAACCCCCAGTGGTTCTTAAATGAAAAGAAAATTCGTCCGTGAATGGTGGCTCTAGACCACTTGTGCCATATATTTCTAAGCTACCAAAGATCAAAACTCGGGGCGAAAAATGCATGGAAAAATGATAAGAAAWTATATCTTCTTCGCTTTGACAACGAGTTGCCAACATAAGTGTCTTGGCATCAATACTGACAGAATTCCGGTGATGTTTTTCATAACATTTCAACTCAGAAATGCTCGATAAAGGGCGTTTTGAATTGCAACTTGAGCAAGCCAACCTAGTCCACGGAACAGTTTAAAGATTCAAAATCCCTTAATCTAAAACAATACCTGGTTAAGAGGGTGTTAATCATGGATATGGATAAGTCTTAACARGTTTGCCAAAATTGACGTGTCTTTAATTTACTCAATTAACCCAAWTTGTTTATGTGACAAAATTAAAAGCATGAATACTGACGTAAAACAACTGATGTAGTACATTAGCAACTGTGGTATGAGCCACGTCTACGAAGCACGGAAGCAGCTAGAGCAGCCGGAATTCATGAGATCATAATAGATTCTCTTTCCTTTCACTATCGAGTGGAACTATAAACCGCGAAAACCTGTCATRTCTGTCATCACTCAAACCCTCTCTTAAGATTACATACGTGATATTATTTTGACAAGGTTAGGTTTAATTCTATCTAGTCAGGCAACAAGACAAGACGGAGATCAAGAGCTGAAACCATGACTTCGACTTTAGATATTGTTTTGACTGTATTTTTTGCTATCTTCGTGGTAATGGATATTTTTCTTAACGTGGTGTTGGTGTTAGCAATTCGTCGAAAGAAATCCCTGCAGACACCTATGAATTTATTGATTCTCCACTTGGCCATCGCCGATGTTCTCATAGGAGTRTTTATCATCCCGAGGCACATCCTAAGCTATGCAATAACTTATCCAGACGGYAAAGCTAGTGATTATATTTGTCAGTTTGTCACCGGTGGGAATTTCATCTGGACCTCTGTTACGACTTCGAGCGGTTTTCTTACTATCATAGCTTTGGAGAGACTTTTCGCTGTTGTCTTTCCCCATAAAGCAAAACTTCGGGTCACGAAGAGGAGACTAATATGGTACGTATGGGCATGTTGGTTGTCRTCAATCGCCTTCAATCTCCCAAGTCCACTGGTTCAAAAGTAYGATCACACAAACCACTTCTGCATGGAAGACTGGCCCGAATGGAGTGATCCCAAAGCTTATGTGGGTATGGCCTTCGTWGCAGGGAATTCGTCAGTCGTKGCTATGTGTATTCTTTATTCTATCATTATGTATAGTCTGTGGAAGAAACGTAAAGCAGTCAGTGAKGTGTCAAGGGCCGCCAGAATCAATGCTAGGAAACGTGTGACAAAAATGTTGATTCTCATGACTGTTGTGCACACAATTTGCCGAACTCCCAACTACACTTTTTATATGCTTAGCAAATTCGATCCAGAGGCCAAGTACGGATCGACTGTCTATAGCTTCACTGTATTTCTCATTCTCTTCAATTCTGCAACCCATCCATTTTTCTTCTGCTGGTACATGAATAATCTTCGTCGTGAAGTATTTGCCGTTCTGCCTTCTTGTTTCCTCACGAACGCTCCCGCGAGGTTAAGAAAGCTTACTTTGCCAACGACGGAGGCAAACAGTGACAGTGCAGCTCACAAAGGTGGGGTAGCTCACAGGATGAAAGACCTGCACAGTTCGGACTTTGTTTCGAATAGTTATGACGAAAGGAAGAAAAACACCACGAAGAGGAACGAAAAATGCYCACAGACACTGACCACTGATACTGAAGACAACAAGAAAGAAAGTCGTAGCGAAGATTTGGTTTTAAGCAATAAAGATTTTTTAGGAAGCAAAATCGTAAAAGAAGAACAAGGCAATAATAAAGTGACTAAATCAGTTTCGAGTGATGATGAGGATGGTAGCAGCGAAGCAAAGGAAGTCGACGAAGAAATAGCGGAAAACAAATATGCCCTGGAATCAGAACTGAACAACGATGTCAAACCACAAAGAACAAACCGTAAAACAACTGCTGAAGAAGATGTGATGTTAACCATGGAACCGATTGAAGTCTGAGCCATGAATTTGTGCAGGGAAATAAACTGAAATAGTTCAAGGATTTGGAATCAAAAATTGATCTATTCTTGAAGGAATATTTTATATAATTTAATACATTAAGGAGGGTTTTCCATTATAAATTTCATAAACAGCACTACAGATATTAATAATCCAATAAAATCGACGGGAATGATAAATTAGCAAAAGAGCTGGGTTAGAAAATTTTCACTTGCCAACAGTGATAAATGATTCTTCAGTGAGTATAAGATAAAACTCATATATAATACTTACGTATTTCTTGCTTTGATTGTGGCTTAACCATCGAGAATTGACTTTGCACGCAATCGTATTATAGAGAAAACTTTTATACTCGAGTAAAACTAGTTTGATCTTAATTTGACCATAAATTTCGACGATAAAAGTTTGTAAGTACTTGCAATTTTATTCTTAAAAATATAGTAACATTCTTGAATTATTATAAACGTCATTTTATAGTTCAAAAATATATTATAAACATAAATGAGTATAAGCAATAGCTAAATAAGCAACAATGAACTGATAAGTAGATAAAAGAAAGAGTTCGTAGTAGTTAGTATATTCAATGCCTACATTATTGTTTACATTCGTATCAAGATTTTGAATTGATTTGTACGTATTCTTTGTTTATATAAGTGATCATTTTGAAATCCCAATTCACCACATATTTAATGGAATAATACAATATCCAAAGCAGCTTAGTTTAAAAATATTTTTCCATAATCTTTTATCGCTGATTCCTATGAACGAATCTCCTACAAAGTCTCGCTGAGAGAAAAAGCTGCATTTTGCAAAGATATCATTAAGATATATTTAGATAAATATAGATRAACCACAACAGATGGGCAAAACAAATATTGAAGTACAAAAAGGAACTAGATGCATTAACTACTCGAATAAAAAACCCTCAATAAAAATTTTATATTAAAATTAGCACCACATTTTTCTCATTAACAGTTTTTCTATGGATATTTTAAAACCTCACAGCTTTTTGACTAGTGGGCTTTCGCTATTTTCCCGCCCATTTCCTGATCATGCGCAGTGCGTTTTTCAGTTTGCTTTCCTTAACTAGTCTTTGAAAAACAGTTGATAGATAGATAATTTGTAACACCGTATGGTATGTAAAAATGAAACTGACGTTTCGGACGTTAGTCCTTCATCGGAGTAAAACCAAAGTTTTTGAAAAGACAACTTTGTAATACAAGATTTAATATTTGTATATTTGGCCAAGTATACACTCTACTTTGGAGCATACATCTTATAGAGCTTATCATCGCGACGTCAATCGTATGAAAAAATAACAAATTTCCTCGTTCAAAAACGAGAAKCATGCAGTTCTACGACGAAATTTATTCTACATTTTTGTGCCAAATAAAAATGAAAAACACCTTGTCATCACCTGGCACGTATTGCGAATGACCAWTGAATTTCTCTTTCGCGATAATAATAATTGGTGGAGCGAAACCCCTGACACTATATCGATAGTCGTGATTCATCAGACTGCTTTTAAAACTGCTGTTACTATTAGTTCCGGTGTTTTACTTTCACTCTTTTTTGTTACAGCTATAAATCGAGAATTTTCGTAAGAAATCGAGATCTCATATAGGGAGTTCACAGGATGTACCAAGACSGGAAGTGTTTTGTAGTGCTACCGGCTTGGAACACGAAAAAGACACACTTATAGTACCGGAAGCGACACTATTAAGTGCCAGTCTGGAGAAAAGTCTCGCTTTGCAAAGGTGAAAACAAATGCCAAAACTCAGTGCGTAATAGTACCCAAGGGTCTTCATGGCATTTGTCATGAGGGCGTTCACGCATGGAACAGTTGTCAATCAACGTAACGAAATTRGCAAAGTGACTGATTAAATTGAAAGCCGCAGATTACTATCTACAGGGTGAACAAAGGCCCAGTATACCCCTCCCCTGACTTATTGACTGGGACMGAGGGTAACAGTGTGTTTTGTGGTCCCGAGACGGCGATGTTTCAYGAGGCGAAGCCGAGGGAAACGTCGCCTTCGAGGGACCACATAACACACTGCTTCCCAAGGTTCAAGTCAATAAGTGTTTCGTTATATACCAAGTGTCAAAGAAAAAAAAGCAGCTTGATTATTTRATTTCGAAAAACTTTGAAAAACTTACATTTCCGGGAAAATCACATAACAACAACTAGCCGGGATCTAATGCTAATCAAAGATGCAAGTCTTGAACGAAGTAGTWCGAGCATAAACTTCAGAATGAGTTGATTGATTCATGTGTGAACAAACCATATGARCAATATGTTTTAGTTTGTTTGACGTATGTTTCTGACGTGTGTTTTTAGCATTAAAAAAAATGATTGGATCTGACTACGATAGCAGATATTGGAGTTACACTCTATTGCCTTCAGGCAATTGTTACATTTGGGTCAGTTTCTATACATTTCATTGTATTGACCCAAATGCCTCGACTTGAGGCAATTGTTTGAAGACAATAGAGGTCTGAATAGAARCAAATGAGGTCTTTATAAAGAGCACATCAAAACTAACCGGTTTCAGCAGTATGGTAACAGTAACAGCTAAGTTATAAGCAATCAAAAACATCGAAGATTATAAAGAAATGTGTGTTTACTAGGACAAGCATTTGTAATTTTTGAGATGTTTGAGAAGTTGCTACACAAAAGGTATGAAACCCAAAATCTTGAAACTCCAGAAGTTTACTAATTTCGATGTACTCTTTCTCGTTATGGTGTTTATTTTGTAACTWGRTTAMWTCTAAAAACTCGTTACCAGTCCTCAACTCATGGCCACCAGTGAAATTCATATTTCTCAGTGATCCAAGGTTTTGTTTGTTCGAATGTTCTCCACGCAATCGCGGTATCCTGCTATTAACCCAGGCAGATGGACAAAGATGGGGTATTGTTATGATCAGGTCAGTTACCTAGGCAGTTATTTACCAAAGCCCAATTTAAATAGTAATCTTGAAATCAATTCCATTTTTAGACTTCTCGACGGTCTTCCTGATGCACAATATCAATATGTGCTTYTCAAAGGAAATTGGCCGCCAACAAAAACTATTTTCAATCAGTTCKTCGCGTTTAATTTAGAAAAAGTTTTTGATTACTGAGATCTAAACTGGAGCTAAGAAAATATTTTTTTGACCGATCTGATAACAAATCATCAATTTTATCGAATTCTATAACAACCTCTGGKCTGATCAAAGTYACGGCACGGCTAACTCACAGATCGAATTGGAATTTAGCGTGTGATAACGAATCCAGGCTTCGAGCATGAGTGGAAATTTTCTGAGGTGAGAGGTGATTGCATTACAGCAGCGCGTTACTCTTCAAACTATTCCCACCAGATGCRRCMTTCTTAAAATTRTCTTGAATGCTAGGGTAACATGGAAATTCAAAAAGAAATGKCAMAAATTCCATCAAGAAAGAGCGTGATTTCTTTTGTATCTCAATGTTAGCCAAGATACGTTTAAGAAGGGTCCATTCGCTCATACGATGGGCGAAATAAAATCAAYAGAAATGSCACAAATTCCATMAAGAAAGAGCGTGATTTCTTTTGTATYTCAATGTTAGCCAAGATACGTTTAAGAAGGGTCCATTCGCTCATAAGATGGGAGCAATAACATCAGTAAGTGACATGACTTTCATGCCAATCAACCTTAATTTACCACTGTAGAAATTTTAGTACCAATTATCATRCATGCTCTCGGTGAGAAAATAGGACCAAGAATACAAATCACTGTTACGTTCCGCAAACAAACCAATTTTCCTGTTTTGGCGCCAAGTGACAATTGAAAACAAGAGAATTTCCAGTAAAAATATATGAAACTTAAATAAATAGAGACAAAATTAAATGCCAAGGTTATACATATGAACTAATTAAAAAAAAAGGAAATGTCACTGGGAGTTCAAGCCGACAAATTAAAAGTGTGTAATAATCGCGCAATATATATATGATCAAAGAACTTCTATTACATGTATAAGCGGACCRTCCAATTTTCTAACGACTAGTGATTTGGCAAATTAGTCTCGCTGATATTACATTAATAAATCGAACCGCTCTTCTAGCGGGAACCAATCTAATGTCATGATATGGTGGTTGKGTCAATGTCATGCCTCAGAATACACCTGCCACTAACCAGTTATTTCATCAAAAACTACGAAAGTTACGGTGGTTAATTTTCACAAACTCGTAGTACGGATTCGAATCAAGTCGGAGTGCAGCGCCAACCAACCAARTTTTGATTTTATTTTTGAAGGTAAAGTTTGTCAGTTAAGGGTTTAAATAGTTGAACGATTACCCGTTAAAAACGAAGAGTGCCTGCCCCCTCCGGTAATTTTCATATAATTTTCTTTTTGGCTGTAATTTATGACGATTGGTTACAAGAAATTAGGTTGGCCAGGGATTGGACGAGAGGGCTCTCATTTTCATCACCGAGGTGCAAAACCTAAGCAATATTGTCTGGGAGTTTTCAATGTTGTTGGGCACGTCATGTAAGGTTGTTTGGGCACTGATCTCACGTCCAACAAACCTTGGTGATGTTGCTTTGGTTCCAGTGTATGCTTAATCCATGCAACGTCGCTTAATGTTGTTG